ACCATCTTGAGCTCTGCAAGTTCTCAAATTGCTGAAGTCTAGGTGCATTTACTCATTTTTAAGACCTGAATAATGCACAGTATGTTCCACAGTTACCCAAGTATGAGCAAGAACAGAGATATCGATGAGATGTACAGCGAGACTGTAGAGATTGTTTTAAAGATCTGTTCTGATGGAGTTAGATTTGTGCACCAATGCAAGGTTTAAATAAATGGCATGTATTATCCAGTATTGTGACTCTGCTGGAAGTACAACTGAAGATGGGAAGAACAACTTCAATCGAGTGTAAAAAGTCTCAGTTGAGTCAGTTGTGTAATATAATGACCATTAATTTGATTGGATTGGTTGCAAAAAAATCTCAGGAGATCTCAGCCTCTTCTCAGAACTCTAAAACTCTCGTACACCGTGTAACAGGTCATATCCTCGATCGTCCGGTGTGGGAACGAGGATTGCTATGCAGCGTTTTCCCTGACCGCTCTAACAGGAACCCAGAGCTTCAGATGAATGGCTTCCTCTCGCTCCTAAAAATGTACTCGGTGGTCTAAAGCTCAAAGTTTAGGAGGCTTCAGGAGGGAAGGGGGGGTGTGATTGGTTCAGCAGGTGAGGACTGGGAATGCCAGATAAAGAACAATTTCTTGCATCACTTCCGCTGTTTGTTCTTCTCTCTATTTCCAAGCAATGGAATGCTTTGCCATTCAGGAGGCAAGGAATTCAAAACAAGTTCATTGAGTTTGAATAGCGTCTTTTTTTAAAGCCGTGTTTGACCACCCCACCCTAATATCACAAAGCCCTTTCCACAATACACATCCTTCAGCTTCCAAGAACTGATTTCCTGCCCTGAAACCCCTCTTCATTTGAACAAATCTGAGGGTACAAAGTAATGTTTGCTTTTGCTCAAGTGTCTGTTGTGGGATTTGTTCACATTTACTGTAAATAGGTGGGGTGGGTAACAGGAAGTGGCACTGCCAAGTGGGCCAGACATGTACAACAGCCATACTGAGGATAAACATACAGCTACTCAGCGCCCCCTGCTGTTCTGGAGGAAAAAAGTACTATTTTGTAATGAAAATACTAGTGTCCTGCTTAGAATACTTTCATTTTTAGAAAATTTGTATGTGAAAGTGTTGCTAATTAAAGATTATTAAACTATTACAAATATCTTTCGTTAATTGAAATAAAGCTGAAATCTGAAAAACTACTAACTGAACTAAAAACAACTGAAATAATAAAGTTTAAGTTGAGTTACTTAAATCACTCAAATTAAAACTGAAATAAAAGCTAAATAGAAATACTTAAATAAAAAGAAATAAACTGAAAATAGAAGCTAATTCAAAATATTAATTAATACTATAATAGTATATAAATAATACTAAAATAACACTGATTTCATTATTCTCAATATCACCAAATAACAAATTAAAGGGTTAGTTCACCCAAAAATGAAAATTCTGTCATTAATTACTCACCCTCGTGTTGTTCGAAACCCGTAAGACCTTCGTTCATCTTCGGAACACAATTTAAGATATTTTTGATGAAATCTGAGGGCTCTCTGACCCTCCCATAGACAGCAAGGTAACTACCACGTTCAAGGTCCAGAAAAGTACCAAGATGATCGACAAAGTAGTCCGTGTGACATCAGCGGTTCAACTGTAAAGTAATATTGACAAAAATAATGACTATTCCACATTTTCGTCTCTACTGCGCCACTTGTGGACGCGCCGCCACACGCTCGCGTCATGGTACTGTCGTGAATGCGCATCCACAAGTGACGCAGTAGAAAGGAAAATGTGGAATAAACTCGTTATTTTTGTTTTCTTTGCGCAAAAACGTATTCTCGTAGCTTCGTAACTTTACAGTTGAACCACTGATGTCACACAGACTACTTTGTCGATCATCTTGGTACTTTTCTGGACTTTGGAGCA